ACATGATCTGCCAGGCTGTTCATCATGTTCATTTATCTCCTGAGATACTGTTTTACTGACCACAACAGTCATATACAAATACTCTAATCAAAATTAGTCTGATTTTGGCCAATTAGGGTATAGCAAGAAGCTTTCCTATTCTCAAAGTCATAAAATACAGCGAGACAAAAGTAGTACTGTCTCATAGGTGAGGTGACATCGCTTGACCAAGGGCACAGGAACTCACGAAAGCTCCAGCAACTGAATGCAGGTTTCAAATCCTTGCCTGGCCTATGAGACCACCCTTCTCTGTGAGCCTCAAGGAGTGCAGTGTCCTAAGCATGGTAGGATTGTGCATTAGCCTGCAGCTGCTGCAACAAAATGATTGCTCAGGAGAAGGCTTACAATTCAGATGCCTGGGTTTACTGGGAACTGGGTGCAACCATCCAGGCAGCAGAGACCCAGAGATTAGGTTGTCATTGAAACACCAAGCTCTATCCCTTCCTTCAGACAGATAAATGGCATTCAATTTTTATAAGTACACTAGGAGCTTCAGCCAGACTGCTGGAAAGTTGCCCATTCACTTCGTAGCGTGACAAAGCAAAGGCATATCCTATGGCGCACAGAAGCTGAAGCCTTCACTACACAAATGGAGAGAGTTCAAGAATAGATCTGCTGAGGGAAAGTCTCCAGCCAAGACTGCTCCCAAGCAACTCAGTACCCAAGCTAAATAAAGAGTCTGAGGTGGAGGGCAGGAACAGAGCAGCTCATCCCATCCCAGCCAAGATGACGACACTCCTGCAAAAGAAGTACAGCCGCCAGCTTCCCAAGAGCAAGTGAACAGACAGCAAGGACATCACACAACCGAAGCTGCTAGGCTGGGGATCTCACAGATACTCCTCTGTCAAAGGCTTGACCCTGAGCTGCAGTTTGTGCAATAAGGGAAAGAAACATAACATGAATGAATGAGAGACAGGAAATGGATTAAATCCTTGTCTGGCCACACTGATGTCTGCTTGTAAGCAGTCTCCCAAACAGAGAGCCCTTCTCAGCTGTCACCATAAGGTTGAGAGATGCCTTTTTTTTTGGCTGGCGTCCCTTTTGCTAGCGAGCAGCCCGATAACGGGTGCTGGCAGAATGAAAGCTCTCCCAGATATGGCTGACTCCCTGTAAACAAGGAGATGAAAATAGTTTGTTTCAAGACACAGCTGGGAGAAATACTATAAAGCCAAAATAATGCCAATAGCTTACTGACATCTTGCATTGCTTGCACTCAAGTGTAACACCGTATGAATCTGGCTGTGTGCCCCCTTCAAGCTCAGGCACCAGAAATCTCACTAGAAAAAGACTAGGAGAAGGCCAGATGATCTTTAAGTTTGTCTTCTTGGCAAAAGCAAAGCAGATATATTTATATAACCTGAGCAACCACAGGGATATAGAGTGTATGAACATTTCTAGCCACTACCAGACCTGGAATAAGCCTGACATTGCCAGAAGCTAGACTTCCAGAAAACCTGAAAAGACAGAGGTGCTGGTACAGAGAAGGTAAGGATGAAACAGAAACATTGTTTGATGGGAATGAAGCATTGGCCCTATGAAGCATTCTTGCTGGACCTGTCATGTAGAGCAGATACAGTCAAGTCAGCAATGATTAAGGAACACAGACAAAATAGAGAAGCTCCTTCACATTACAGGAACACGCCTAAGGACTGGTGACCTAGAGAAGACATGACACAAAAGACTCTTTGCTTCCTCTACCATGAAGCTAGCATAAGCCCTCTCCTGTGTTTTGTGACATGTTGGGACGGGACACCATCAGATTCGATACTAGTCACCCTACTTTTCACTGTTGAAGGTATCTACTGAAGGTATCCTTACTTAGGATGTCCTCCTGAGAGATGAATCCCTTGACCTTGCAAGGTATCAGGGCATGCAGTAGAGGTGTCCTTTGCTGTTAGTGAGAGCCATGGTGGCAAAGTAGCAATCCCATGGGCTCAAGTTCTGCCATGCCACATCCATCATTCTCTTTTTGGGAGAAGTTAGTTTGAAACACAAGAGGTAACATTTACCCTGACTACAGAGCTGTTGTCTTCACCAGGTACCACAGACCGTGTCCTCATCACAGGAACAAACACATTCCTGAGAAAACCAGGACAGCTCCTAGGCAAACAGCAGTGTCACCCAAAGCTTTCAGACAGGCTAAGGTAGCTTTCAGGGTTTGTTTTTTTTTTTGATCCTGTATCTAGTTTTTCAAAACAAAACACTGTGACACCTTGAGTTAGGGGAAGGGGGGCGGGGAGGGGAGAAGGATAAAAGAAGTAGGGCACTTGAGTTTTCTGCTCTGTTCATCTTCTGTAGGAATTTTCAAAGACCTGAAGAAGGAAGTTGTGCAGTATGGTGGCTGGTGTAAGCTTACAAGCCCCTTCAAAGCCAATTTCTTAGCAGAAAAATAAGGAAAACAAGTACAACTTGCAAGGAACTGCACTAGCAAGTGAGGTGCCGAATAGACGAGGGACTCAATTGACCTGTGACTTTGGTGACTGTCTTTCTCATTGCTAACCTTGGGAGTTTTCATCTGAAAACAAGAGATGGGATTCACCTGAATTAGGAGAGGGACTGAGTTTCCTAAAGACACAATATTCATTTTGGTGAAAGTGTGGGAAAAACTTTGTTAAAAAAAAATTTAAAACTCAGTTTGACAACAGAAAGCCAGTTACTCACACATCCCTAGGTGCTGGCAACATAACATTGATAGGCTGCCACATAGGCCCAGGAAATAAGACCTCAACCATACAGCATGACTCATGGTTACCAGATGTTGCCCATAGTAGCGACATGTCACAAGAACTATCACTTTCAGTGGCTGTTTTTCATTCTGTTAATCAGAAGTCAGATGCACTGCCGAAAAAAAGCAACCACTTATAAATGATGTCTGGGATGGGGTGAACTTATCCAACAACCCACTCAACTCTCAGGACGTAGATGGCTTCAACTTCATTGCTACTTGTTCTTGGGGCTGTCCCTTTTGAACAGTGGCAGTACAGGAAATTATCAGGAACCAGGACATGCTGCTCCTGTTTTACATTTGTTGCTAACTCGGTGGGCTCCAGCATTTGTCAGCAGTTTTCTGGAGGTCCTTGGGAAAGAGAGGTCCAGGGTCTTTCTTCACTTCGTGCAAGAATGTCATACAATGCATGATTAGAGGAAAGACAGTACAGTCTTTTCCTTGGAAGTGTGCCATTTGCTTCACTTGCATTTCCTCCCATTTGCAAAGGGAACAGAGCATTAGTGTCCTCCCATCTCTTCTGGTAGGTTTCTTCATGGTGACTGTCTTCCAGAAACACAGCTCCTGTCAGCTGAGCTTTCACCAGCTGAGATCTTAAATATCGATAACTCCAGCTTCTTTCCATAATATTTTCACATACAAAGAAAAATTGAGAAGTCTGCTGCCATTCTGCATTGTCTCCAAACAATTGGACTCGTCAGGCAAATGAACTAAACTACATTTGAAATTGAACACGTTCCATGAATAACAATGTCACAACAGCACACGCTACTCCTAAAGTCTCTGGGTTAACAATGTAAGAGTCGATGTATATAAGTAACTGCAGGAGCCCACAAAAAGGATTTTTACTAGTAACATGATCAATTGTTTGGTACTTATGAAAGTACAGTTATGTTAACAAGGAAAAATAAGCAAGATTTTTGGCAAGTTTAGGAGACAAGGTGAAAGCTCACAAGTTTCTAATGACAATTATGTGCGTAAAAAGTCTGGGAAATTAAAAAGCTTCAACAGAGGTTTGGTCATGACAGTGTAAAATATTAAGTGTTTCAACCACAGCCTTGCATAAAACAAGACCAAAGAGACACCAAAGCAGATATATTACAAGTGAAAAAACTTAGACTGACCACTGGCCAAGTAGAAACTAGAGAACCAACGGTGGTAACTGCCGCATGGAAAATGTGATTTCCAGATGAGGAGTTGCAAGAACAGATTGGGAAGGTGGATCTCTGGGTATTTAAGTGGGTAGTTCAACCACATTCTGGCTAGGTTATCAACTGCAAGAGGACCTCAATGAGCGCCCTGTGGGTGAATTGGTAACAATAACGATAAGATGACTAAGCCTTGTGAGCTGAATTATGGGCTTGTTTACATGGGAAATTGTTATAGAAGCTAGGTGTAAATTTAGACCACAATGGCTCTTTTGCACCAATTCCCAGATGGGTGGGTAACACTATTCTGCTCTGAGAATGTCTTTCAGAGAAGGCAAAGCTCAACAATACAAAGACACTTTGCGTACTGAAAGGTGGTAGGTGGGGACAGCTATTTCACACTTTTTTCTTTTTTTCTTAAATGTAGGTGGGTCCCAAGACTGTAAATGATTGAAAGGCAAAGTAGGCTCAGGGAAAATTTTTGACAAGTCACTCTCTCTAAACTTTGTTTCTCATCTGGGGAGAGGGGACATTGTGCTTTCATGCATGTCTCTAAAGGATTTTGAGATGAAGGAGTAAGAAGTGCTATAAGGAAATTCCACTCTGAAAGGTAAAGGCCACATTACCTTTGTCTATCACCAGCTGCAAGAAATTTGATCAAAGCTTTCCAGTATATGTGATCAATATTGCCCTTAAAGCTCCGAGTATGAGGACTCCATGCCAAGAAGCCACATAGTGCCATTGGTCCTGCATCCCTGCTAACCCTGTTCAGTCACACCACACTCTCTTGGACTTTATGCTTATTTAGGTTCATGCCTGACTAGCAGCAGCCTCCTGCATGGAGAAATACAAACTGGCATTAGAACCTAAGCTAAACTGTTTCACATAGCTTGTCCCTAATAGTATGCTTACCTTCATGTGTAGTTACTCTGCAGCCAACACCAGTGGCATTCTTTAGTCGCACCACCATGAAGCAGGATATCCCACCTGACCCATTGATCTCAACCTTCTACGCAGTACTGAGAAGCTAACCAATTTAATGAGAAGTGCAGGAAAATTTAGGCAAGATGAGACATGAAGATTTTTACCTCACTAAGTTGGCACAAGGTCCTGGCCACCGGCAGCTCTGATAAACTCGCTGGATAACCGTTTCTGACCCATTCTGCACTTGGCAGGAAACTGTCCGTGTAACCGTATAGTGACACCAATGCCTGCAGAGAGAAAGGACACTGTTAGTCCCAGTAAGACAACAAGCTGAACCAACATACACCAGACTGCAGTAAAAACAGACCAAGTATCTGGGCGAGCGGTTGTTTCTTCTGCCAGCCATAGCTAGCCTTGCAGTCTTCATTTCTCACCCCACCCCCTCCTCCCAATGGCTGCAGAAAGATCCCCTGCTTCTGCCATCCTGAACCACAAGAGATCCAGTAACGCCTGTTGCTTGGTCCTCAGAGGCCACAGTTTTATAGTACATAATTTAGTTCTGTTAGTTATCATAAACAATAGGACTTCAGGGGGGAAAAAAAAAAAAAAAAAAGTGTTCAAATCTCCTGATAGCCAGTTCCTATTGTACTGGTCTTAATTTCATCCTGCTCATTATGGTATCATTCCCCAGCCTCCTACCATTCTGAACAACAGCTGTGTTGGAAAATTCTGCTTTTTCATGTGGTGGAGCTCATTGTCAGAACAGTTCGAACAAGGTGGGTGCTGAACAAGTCATATTTCTCTCCTAGTGAGGTTACAGTCTCAAAATGTGCAAGAGAAAATGCAGGGGAGGCAGGGACTAAGTGTCTTATGCTGTCTCATAAGAAAACAAGAGTGAGAGACCTCCTCACCATAAGGTGTATGGGGAGGCAGGAACTGCAGTGTCAGCCCTGGGAATCAGGAGCCAGAGACCTCTTTCTACCTCTCCGAAAAATATATTTTTAGGTTCCAGTGTCACACTTGAGGGGGGGAAAAAAGGATACTTCCATTTTCCCCTGGTAAGCATCATCCATATTTGCCAATATTGGTTCACATTTTTACTTTTGGACTTCAGCGTAGTGAACAGGTTTGAGAGCCACTTTCCTACTGACTGGGGATCAGAACTGGGGTCACTGATGCAAAGGGGAGACAGCAGCTTGTGCTCCAAAACACACAAAGTGCTTGGGTAAGCATTCCCGGCACATGCACAAGAGTCCTGGCTTCTCATCCATCTTAAAGCAAGAGACCCCACTACAGTTGATCCCTTCTTCTCCAAGTATCACAGTGGTTCCCTAACCTTGCGTACCAAAAATCAAACTGCTTGCACAGTAGAAACAGGCACCTGTACATCCTCTCCCTCCTGCCTTAACCCACTTTTCCCATGGCAGTTTAATTTTTCCAGTATTTGCCATTTACAGCATTTGTTGCATTTTGTTTCCTTTTTGGATTCCCCTCCTATCTCTGCAGGAGGCTCCCTGCTCTCTGGATAACTCTCATTTCCATGAATAGGAGGTACACATGCCAGCAGCTGAGTTGAGTGCTGCAGAACACAATGGGCAAGCTGGGGCCAGCCGGCTGCTCCCCGAAACCTTCAGCTACAGCCAGACAGGTGAGCTGGGGCACCCAGAGAGAGGGTGGCTTTCTACCCAGTGCCATCGAGCCCATCAGCAGCATCGAGGCAGAGCCATGCAGCTTTCCCTGCAGACACTGCTCCTGCTCACTGTAAACCCACTTGCAATTCCTCATCAGGAAGCATGGACTATAGTCACATCTCAGGTGACCCCAGGCTGGCAGGGAGGTCTTAGAGAACCACTTCTCTCAGATTTATTGAGAATCTGTGGTGTGTATATATAGGGATCAGGCACCCTAGTACCCAGCTGTCTCTACTAACATCTACATCATAGAACCAAAGGGCAAAACAGGGGGGAAAGATAAGATTAATGAATCACAGAAT